TTTTTTTTTTTTTTTCCTCCCAAAAAGGGAACAGCTCGTAATCCAGACCAAGAAAGTGAGTAACATCCAGATGAAGGCTTTCAAAAGTCCCAAAAGCAAATAGATCAGTGGTTGTCAGTCCCTACAGTTCAGAAGGGCAGGCAGGAGTCCACATATAAAAATGGACTTAAAATCCAAGTCAAAATTTTTAAGCTTCAATGCTCTGAATAGCTCCATGCATTTGTATTGTTTGTTTTTATTTTACTTTTCCTTTTTAAATGTGACTCCACGTAAGATACGATCAGCAAGGTTGACCTGAAGGAGCACCTTTTATTCCACTGTCTGATCTACACGGTTAGTATATTATCCCCCAGATTTTATACTTTGAGAAAACGCTGTTCCACGTTAGCATCCAAGGTGGTGTCTTTGGAAACATCGATAAGAAAGCAAACATCTTTGCTAACTCCCTACCTACCAGGGCAGCTGTTTTAGCTGACAGTTCAGTAGCACACAAGTTGACTTGGCCAAATGGAATTTGAATGCATGCATTCGGGCTGCATATTGCTACCAAAATGGAATGTGGGAATATGCTATGCACCTCGGGTTCGAGAAATGACCAAGAAAATCAAGATCTAAAGGGTGATATATATATCTCAATGCTATTATTCATAAAAACCTTGTTTAGTAATAAAAAAAATTGCTTTGTTTAAATATGAATATTATAGTCTGCTTCTCATGGTTAGGAAATTAGAGTCTCTCTGAAAAGCAGGTTGCCTCTTCTACTACAATTCCATATCCTGAGCCTCATCTTCCGAGAAGTCGGACATGGAGCTCTCAGACGAGCTGTCCCCGGTGCCTTCTTCCTGTTCTTTTAGTGCTTCTTCTGTTGCATATTTCTGAATGTATTCTGTATGCGACAGAAAAGAAAAGACGTATAAGCAGCATATATTCAACAGTCAGAGGATGGGTGAACTATGACTAACGGCTGGTTGGGTCACATCCCGTTTGATAAGTCATACAGATTACTGTATTTCTCAGACCAAAGGCAGCATTGTCCAACAACGTGTGAAAACAGCTGATGGAGACCTCAGACACATGCGAGACCCTTGAAAACAAGTACGAACCCAAGGCTCCTACGTCAGCATCATGCACACTCGTACCTGGAAATGACCCAAGTCCTCCCCGGTATGGTGTATCTCTCTTAATAGGGCAGGATTTGGCTTACTGTCAAAATAGGAGCTACCGTGGTGACCTCGAGAACAAGCCTAAAAAGCCATAAAGATACCACTATAAAGCCTGACTTTATGAAGCCCTGAGACTTTGAACCCTTAGCACAGAACAACCATCACTGAAGCCAAGCAGAGTGCCACACTAAACTTCCAGACTAAACTTTGCATAACCAAATTTTAAAGAAGGATGGACAGAGAAAGCAGAGCTGAAGACTACTGCAGGAATAGCTGCATTTTTATTATTTTTTTTTTAATAAAAAGCAAAAGCTCCCTCCCCAAGCCCTAAGACAAACAGGGGTCTGTCCCAGGCTCTGTTGTCAAAGCACAACTCTTGCAACCTGCTTCACATCAGACAGCAGCCATAGGATTAGCTGAGAAGGACCCAGCGGGGAGCCCTCTGCGGGGAGGACGGCCACCGCGCTGCAGGTCACCGACCGAAACCACGTCTCACAGCGGGGTCCAAATCACACTGGCTCTAGGCACCCAGATCAACACCTTGAACTTCAGCCAGAACAAGCAGGAAAACTGGTTTACTGGGATTCCTGCAGGCAAGTAAAGTAACCGCTGCGAACCGTGGCTTGTGTGGCTTCCACGGTCATCTCTGTGGAGAGGGACAGGGCAAAAAGGCAACATGAAGTGGATCAGGTAAGTCAGATCGAGTCTGGCAACCACCTTCCTTCCTTCACGGCTGCAGGAGGCTCCCGCAGCGTCCCCTCCGAGATCCGAGGAGGGGCTGGCGTCCCCAGCAGGCAGGCTGCCTTGAGCAGAGAAAGCCTATTCCTTACACGCATGCAGGTGTGCAGAATGCAGCAGGGGTGAAAGCTTGGCACAAAACTGGGCTAAAGAAGGGGTGCTCAGTCTCAAGTTCAAGTCTTCCTCTTATTTATCTCCTCTTTTCCAACCTCATGCTGGCAAAGCGGCCTCACAGTATGAAGTGATGTACCCTCAGTATCCCGACAGCACAGCCTCCACACCGCGGGTCAGGCGCTTCGGGGAGGAGAGGGGTGGTGTGCTCACGCTGCCCTTGGGGGATTTCAGCTGTGAACTCGTTACCTTTCCAGATACGAAGGTACTAAAATACAACAAAGCCTCCTCCAAACAGCAGTATTAAAAGATTGAGAGGGAATACCACCATCCTTTTGTGCTCAAAGACGAGCCCCTGCACAGGAATGTGAATGTCACGTCCCAGTCCCAGCCCGGCAGCTGTCCCAACTGTATGTTCTTTAATTCCTCCCAGGGAATGAGGTCCACAAGGAGCATCTCTCCTCCAGGAGCACAGATCACTGCTTTTTATTCCATACCGTATCAGTATGTGGATGCACTGACAAAGCTGCAAGGGGACCCATCTAATGCCAGATAACCAAGAGCTACCACATAGGTTTTAAAGACACTGCTTTGCAGAGCCGGGCTGTTCTTAAAAGCCGCCCCTCCTTCCCTCTGCACTTCCATCCTTCAGCCTATTCAAACAGAAAATACCCTGCATCATTATGGTTTTTTTCCACATGTCTGGAGCTGACATAAGGACACAGAGCCCAGACATGTCACTCTGGGTTCGGGAGTGTAGTATGGACAGAGAAACCCGAAGCCAACAACACTTCATGGAGGAGTTCCCAGGATGGAGCAGCTGGTGACCTTGGCAGACCGGCTCCACGCTGGAAAAGCTGTGAGAGCTGGCTGGAAGGTGCCTCTGAACCCAGTGAGCTTCAGCTTCGCCATCTAATGACGCACGCAGCTTCAGTCTAACTGTTTAACGTACATTATTAACCTGCTCACTCAGATGACAGAAGCAGCTGTTCAAGTCTGTTTTACAAGAACTTGTTAAGAACCGATAAAGTAGTGAAGGCAGCTATGTAAACACCGGGAAGCACGGAGCGCTCAAGGTCTCAGATCGCCCTCAGACTGCTTGCAGCCCATGTAGCGTCAACAGAAAAGCACCTTTGTGCTCCATGCAGGAGGATGGAGCTCCAGCAGGTCCTGGCCGCTGAGAACTCCCCTCCTGGAAGGTGCTTGACACTGTCATCGTGGAGCCTAGGCCTGATCAGGTCTCCTGCCAAGAGATGGACACTGCAAAGGGAGAAGAATGGGTGCGACAGACCTAATGGTTTAAAGATGAGAGGGACTAACTGAAGGAGGGACCCAAAAAAGCAGCATGTCTTCAGAGAATTTACACAGGAAGGTGGGCAGGCAATAGATGACAAGCAGAGCTAGGGAGATGGGTTGCTGACATGACATATCCTTGGAGCAGCTACTCCCTTCCCATAGCTTTCCAAGAATTCATCTCCCTCTGGAAAAGGGATGCTTACCCAGAGAAGTTGTTATTCCTTGCACAACCCAGCAAAGGGAACCCAGGTTCCTTTGCTGTAAGACTTTGAATGTCTTTGGATGACAAAGGCAACCCCTTACTGGGCACCTTAAGAAATACATTTCCTCTACGCTTTCTCCAAACCCACCTAAACAACTGCTGCAGCTGCCTCAAGAGGCCCCAAACACAGCAGCCACGAGCCAGTGACCATGGCAGGAAAGCTACCAAGCCTCCAGGCTGGGTTCTTCTAAAGGTTTAATCTGGGAAAGGTCAAACTTCCAGGGAGCTTCTGTGCTGAATGTGGTATTGAACTTGGATCTTTGGTCTCTTAAAGGAATAAAATGGCAACATCTAAATAATACTGACCAACAGTCTTCCACAGAAGCCTGTTCACATCAAGAAGGGAAAACCTTGATGCTACCAGGGAAACACCACTTTGATTTATCTGTTTTGAAACCCTGGAGCAACAAGAACAAGCTGTGGTTGCGCCCCGGAGCTGGTACGTGCCTGTGAGCCATACTGGTCTTTCAAAGGACTCTACTGAAACTTCAGAGCTGACACATGGAATAGGAGAACTGCTCCCAGAGATGTCCTCTGCTCCCAGCAAACACTCAGCCTGCCCCCTCAGTACCCTTCAGCTGCTGTTACTCGCCATCACCAGCCTCCCAAAAGAAGTTTTCATATTAGATCTACCAAAGAGAAGGAAAAGCAGCATGCACGGGAGTTAAGCACCAATTCCCAGCAGCTCAACACAAGCAAATGTTGAGCCATTTTTGCATATCTGAAGCCCATCCTCTGGTGTCCTGCCAGGGATCAGGCAAGCCATCTTGCCAAGGACTGTCAGGGAGATCTTAAAGGAGCACGTGGCTCTGTGTCCATGAACTACTCTAACCAAAAGCCCTAATGCTAAGAATCACACTTTCCAGCTGCATACCAGTAATACTAATGGACATTTACAAGTTTCACAATAAATCCTTACTGGTTTGGGTCTCATACCAAGAATCACAGGAACTACAAATCTTGGGCCACATCTCTAAGCCTACGCCCATCTCTTCTCTACCACTATGTGAAACAACTGTTCTATGCGCTCGTAACTAAAAAATGAAGAAAAGCAGCAATGCATTATTTATTTGCACTACTGAGTTTCCCAGAGCAGAGAAGCTGCTACAATCCATTGCATCAATTTTAACATGTCCAAGGCTATTTTTAAAAATGTTACAATATGAGGAATGACAGTGTTTAGCTCTATCTTATACTTGTCACGCAAGCCTGGAAACAGACAGCAGAGGCAGGACTCTTGGGTATATGGAACATGAGACATGTTGCAAGCACTTAAAACTCCTTCCAGATCATCTTCACATCCTGTACCTGGCTGTCAGGATGGAAACAAGGGAGCAGACTATCCCATTTAGCCTCCCTGAGGGATGTCCTCAGATCTTCCTTGAGGCACCTGCTGTTGGTACTTCAAATAAGCATCAGATTATTTGCTTTTTTTCCCAGGGTGTATTTTTTTTGTCCCTGTTTCACTAAAGCATAGAGGACACACACACTGTCCTCTGTGTTGGCCTCAGAGATTTTATCTAGCAAACCATTTTGCCTGGAAGCTTGCTCATGTGAATAAAAGGGCAATGGACTTCAGGATATCGAGCAGGCCAGATCTGCAGGGTAGTTCTTACGATCCTGTCATGCAGCTGTCAGAGGAGTCAAGCAAAGTGGGCTGAATAACTCAGTATTTAAATCACAGCTTTGCTTGGCCTCATTTGTAGTTCCGCCCTCAAACAAAAATTGCAGCTGATGAAGAGTCATTTCACATCAGAACAAAGTGACTCGAGGTTTAACCACTCCGGAGTGACGTTGCAGAGCTGGTGGAAGGACTCCACCACCAAATCCCATGTCTTTCTGGGATACCTCTGCTCTCTGAACAAGAGCTAGCTTTCACAATGCTCCATTAGGAAAGCTGCTATCCTGCCGGCAAGGCGATTAGATCGTGCCACTCATGGTGGCTCTCCTTGTTGAACAGGCCCTGCAAACCTTTCTGGCAGGGCTCCCATAGACAAACAAGTCTTACGGTTATTCAGTAACCAAAAGAGAAAAAAAAAATAATCAGGTGGTCATGGGCTCTTAAAAACTCAGTTGAAGACCAAATCTGGGCCAAAGGCTGCAAATTTGCCACCACTGGATTAAATGCTGATTGTGTTCACTGGATCAAGGGAGAGATAGAGCCCATGGCTTTGCCATATGCTTGTCACATCAGGGAATGGTGCCCTGCTCCTGTCTGCATGCAGCTGATTCTAGGGAAGGCAGAGCACAAACTTAAAGCACAATTATTATTTTTTATCTTATTTCTTATATTTGCAAAACTAATTCCATTTTTATCTCACATACTAGCTTGCTAGTCCTCCTATTGCCAGTCTTATCCAAAGTATTTGAGTCTCCTTACTAGAAGCCTTTCCTGATCCCAAGGAAGTACTTGAGGAAGTGACTATTCCTCAGCCTTGTGTAACATGGGCCTTCCAACCTTTCCAAGAGCAGACACCCCAGCACCCTCACTGGCTCTGCCAGTGCTCACCCACCCTCACTAGCCAGTTAATACTTACCCTGGGCTCCCCCAGCCACGTTACATGCCTGTGACCACATCCTGCTCACACTGATCACAGGACAAATCATTCCCTTCCTCTCTGAAGGCACCTTTGACATGTCAAAGCTCATAACCCCATTTGGTCCTCTAGATTAAACTCCAATTCTTTCAATCTCTTAAGACACATCTTCAAGACGATCTGCCCTTTTAAGACCCTTCGAGACATTACTAACTGGTCTGCAGCTTTCAGACATAGCAATCCCTGAACTGGGCACAGCACTGGTAAGCCTCGGCTTAACTAGGAAGTAGCAAGGAAAGATTACTTGGCATTTACTGAAAATTCCTGCTCTGTCACAGCACAAAAGTACTTTCCACAACAGCATCACCAGTTCCTTGACTGCTGCTCTCAGATCACTTTCCACAGAACTGCTAACAAGCCACTTTCTGTCCACTAATTGTGCAACTGGATGCTCCCATTTCAGTTTAGCACTTTTCCTTGTCCCTTCTGCGGTTGCACACCTTTTCTTCTGAACGGTTTCTCTGATCTCTCAAAATCGTGTTGAATCCTAACCCAGTTTGCTTATGGCCTTCCCTGCTTTAGGGTCTGCTAATTGATTTAAAACCCCTGCCCCACACGCTGCATACACCACAGCAGCAGTTCATCCACCCCTTACTTCAGACTACCCCAATTTAAAATGGATGGGGCCCCTGTAACGGGAAGGAATGGGCACTGACACACAAACGTGCAGCAAAGACAGTCCTCATTCCCCCAGGGTGGAATCACAGTAGCACCACTCATTCCCCAATATGTTATTTACGCCCTTACCTTTAATTTTCTGTTTGTACTCTTCTGGTCGGTGGAGGTACATGGCTGCAGCGTCACCATTTAGAGGATCTATAGGGTTAGGATAGGCCAGCAGCTGGGGCAGGAACGATTCAAATATATTGGTAAGATCTGCAAGTGAAAGACACAGTTGTTCATGTCCAGAGACCCAGAATAAGTCTGATTAATCATCCCGCAAGCACTGACACTGAAACAGCAGCAAAAAGCTTCAAGGGTAAATCACAGAATCATTAAGGTTGGAAAGGAATGTACTGAAAACTTGGGCACAAGTTAAAATGAAGGGAACTGCATCGGGGAAAGTGCATACATGGCTGATAAAAGAGCTGCTGCAGCTCCTCAGCTAACTGCACAAACTACTTGACATCCCAACAATGTAGATAAAGGTATCTGTGGGTAAAGCAAAGAAGAGGAAGGACACAATTGTGTTGTTTCCCATTGAGGCTCAGGCCTTGCTTAAAAAAAAAGGAAAAAAGAAAAAATCAAACAGCGCTGTGCTTCACCCCTCACTGAATTCTTCTCCTACTTCTGCCTTCTATTACTGTCTCTAAATGTCTTATGCTCCATGACTAAATTGATGTATCTCAAGCACAAAGCATCTTCCAGAGTGCTTTAGATAATTGTGTTAATAGAAAGAGCAACCAACAAGGCCCTCCTCCAACTCAAAACAACCCGCAGAATGTGAAGAGCTCCCATTAACACCTTGGTGCCAGTTGGCATCTGTCACTAAATAATCCACAACAGGAAACATACTTCTGGTGGAGATGAGTAATTGTGGATACACAAAACCCTCTTCCCACATCCCTAAGACGACAAGTACCACACTTCAGCAGTGAGGGTGTTCAAGAACAAGCCCTGCGTCATCATTTCTCCTCAGGGGCTTCAGAAGGACCAGGCGCACCCACGCAGAGCAGAGATTAAACCCCCAGTGCAGGGCTGTGTGCCAGGTTTCCCTTTAGCCACCCCAGAGCTGCCGATACAGACAGACAGGCTTTCATTATGTGGGGTTTTCTGTTGGGTTTTGTTTCTGAACGTTCTACACATCTTTTATCAGGACCCCCCCCTTTCCTCCCTATTTAAAGGGAGCGTCTCTTTCCTGGTGGCAGAGAAATCCTGCCCGTGGATGAGCATCGCCAGTCCCCTCTAGCGCGGATCGAAGTGGAGCTGTCAGAAGGGAAGCCCAACGCTCCCTAGGATCCACCACGAGAGCAGTTAACCATCTCAACCTGCCTCTTACAGGAACAAGGCTGTGTGACTATTCCCGAGCCCAGCCATCACCAAGCCTCATGGAGCACTAAATTCAACTAGATCTGATGGAGGGCAGGGACATCAGAGCCCTTAACTTTCTACAAAATTCATCAAAATGGATGGGCAGGTGGAGGGATATCTCCAAGCGCTCTCCCTGTGCAAACAGTTACCCTGGCTCTGGGCTGCAGCCACAGAAACCCAGGCTCTAACTCCATCGCAGCGAAGATACGGCCTCAGAGGAGCTGCGCAGTAGATCCGGGCAGATCATTGCCACCGCCCGGCGTTACCACCTCTGCAAATCTACCAACGGGCATGCTTTCAGAATGTGCTTTCAGATCTTGCTCAAGAGGATCAAAGGAGACTCGAGTTTTTGTCAGTTCTTCCCTCCTGCATCAACACGTCTGGGACATGCAGACACTACGCTATGACTACTTCAGTCGCCCATTCAGCACAAATCCTGCTGAGCAGGAGGAAAGGCCATGGCTTTATGTACTCAGGAGTGTAGAGTTCATTATAGCTGATACTCCATCACCAAACTGCAAAAAGTAATGACATCGATTGCTATGGATAGCGATTGGCTGGCGTCTGCTATACAGGGACACCACTAAGAAATTATGTGGTTTTACCCTAAAATCTCTTTCTACTATAGCAGCTGTTGCCCTTTCCAATAGTGGCAGAGGACAGCGACAAAGCCCTTTACAGCACTCATGGTACCCTGACCAAGTTTGCCGTGGCTGGCACACTGAGCAGCCAGGTGCCACCAGCTGCTTCTAGGATAAGTACAACAGCAACTGGAAGAAGGATCCTAATCCCAAAAAGGACCACAAAAACATAGTGAGAATGCTCTGTAAGAATACTTTTTACCATGGTAGTGGCTTGTCCTTGGTAAACCAATTAATCCTTCTAGGGATTGCATTCAGACGCTATCAGCAAGAAGTTGGGTCAAGTCTCTCCATGGAGCAGGCTTAGATCAAATATTTCTTTGTGGCTGTTAGACAACTCAACTCTCATGTAGGCGGAGCAAGCACAGCCCTGGAAGGCCACTGTGGCTCACAAAGACACTGCAAGGACTTTTCTTTTTTGCTTTAAGAGACCTCAGTAATTTCCCCCTTCTTTCAAACCTCCAAAAGTGGCATTGGTTTAACTAGTTGAACGTGCATGGGAAGTCTAACCACAGCGCTAAGGACTTGATACTTCATTAGGGAAGGAGAGGGAATTTAGCCACAAGGTTCTCATGAATTTATTGGTAGCTATTCTGGGTCTCTTCCACCTTAGTTGCTTCTTGAATTATCTGACCCATTTCCTCTGCCAGCGCAGGAGGGCTCTGGTTTAAAGGGGTGACACTCCAAACAACACAGCTGTGCTGAGAGGCACCAGGGCATATTGTTTCCCCCTTTTCATTGCACGTTCAGAAGTGGGCCACCTCCTAACTTCAGACAAGGAGGCAAAGCCCTGGAAGAGGTGATGGAAGTCACAAACACTAGAGTGCCCACAAGTGAAGGGGCAGAACGAATGCAGTCACCCCAGCGTCCTCCCTGCAGCTCGAAGGCATCCTGCAGCAAGGCAAGGGATGTTTGCAGCAAGATGACTGTCAAGCGATGCACCTTCTAAGGCCAAACTTCTAAGTTTCACCAGTTACTGTGGAAGATGCTCTGTACAGAATACACACCTGATGCCTTCAAGCTGCCTTACACCTATCCCTGACATCACAAGGAAAAATGCAGAAGATCTTTGCACATTTGCGGATATTAATACATTGCAAACATAGTAAATACTGCAGTTGTTTTTTCTACCTTTATGAGCAACAGCGATGACAAAAATACAGCAGCACTCATTAGGAAACCTCTCACAGAAAACCCTCCTATGAAATTGTTCGGAAATAGCGCAGAAACCCCACTGTGACCGTCTGCGAGAACATGCTGCAGAACAGGGAGACTACCCATGCACAGCTTCCAAAGCACAGCCCAGACTGCCAGAGCACAAAACCAGCCCCACAGTTACACTGGAGTGATTTTCTTTTGCCCAGCCATCCCCACAACCTGCAGGTGGCATTTAAGGGCTGGAACAGCAGCACATGCTGCACTGTGGGTGATTCTGCTGCCGACTGAACCGTGCAGGTTCATCCCCAGAGAGGGCTTGGTTTGCTAACACTGCTTTCCTTCCTCCGCCTCGCATCCGGTCCTCCCAAGACACAAGAGCATCCTCTTCCTCCATTAGCACCACCACCTGGATCATGGCTAAGCTGATCCTTCACAACAGAACCATGTGAAGTGTATGCAACTACTACGTGAGGACTTCAGGCATTCTGATGAGGAGTAAAGTTCAACAAGCTGCTATAACGATTTCCCACCCAGGATTCACCAAATCTGGTATTTCCTTACAAATTGTGCTTGTGAGGAAGGTGAAGTAGCTTGTCTGTCTAGCAACTGCTTCAAAGCTTTAACTTACATAGGTAAAATCAGTTTTTCATCGAAGAACGTGAAGGATTTGATGTGCACGTTCCCCTGAATACTCTTCTACACAGGACAACTGGAACATCTGAAGAAGTTCACATTTTAAAAAAAGCAGACAACCTAGACTAGATACTCAACTGTATTCCTTTTAGCAATTTCAGCTTTCCCTAAATGCTATTTTAATGGGTCTTCAGGTATCAGCTAACCTTTTTAGAGCTCTAAAAAGGGCAGTGATAACCAGACACAGTCTAATGGAAAACCCAAAACATTCCGCAGCAAGTAGTGCGGTCATCAGATGCACTACCACCTCCTAGCTTGCAATGAAATGATGCTGCCATGACAAACAGGAACGGTTTCTGGTGCCATCTTCTGTAGAAGTGGGATCATAGCCTTGTGTACAAGGAATACCAGATCGAATGCACATACAAAATGTGGATGGGGTAGCTGGAACAGTGTTTCACCTTAGATACAGTCACTCCTCTCTTTCAATGCTGAATCATGACGGGGTGCTATTGTGCAGTTACCAGACACTGCCAAGCAATGAAATGAGCGATTTTTTCTAAGGTTTATGGAATATTTTCATCTCTCTGGCATAAAAACAGGTTACAAAAGTATTCTCACATGAAAATCTTACTTTTCACGTCATCTTGGCTTAGTGAGGAATCTAAAACTTCAGTAAAAAGCAAAGAGTCAGCCTTAGATCATCTGTATCCAGCAAGCTGTGTTGTGTTAACACACCAAATGAGGATGGCCACGTGATCAGCTTTCGGGGAAATGCCAAACTCACCGTAGAGAGCTGTCCAAGTCTGATTGATTACATCTAGACATACAGTTCCTGACCTGAAACATATGGAAACGATGGAATTAAACACAGTCACACTCAAAAATACTCTGGGGATTTAATATAATCTACCCCCTCCCTTCCCCTGCCCTGCCTCTGCCCCACTGTTTCAGATGAGCCATGATTTACTCCTGTCTTGTGGTTAATAGAGGGGCAGCCTTTAACTGCATGAATTTTCAGACTCTGCAGAAAAGAAAGTAAATTGGAGCCATTACTGAATTAGTTGGTCCATGTGGGGCTCTGCTGGAGAGACCGAAGCACAGGTGGCTCCCCTTAACAAACCTTAGCTGAAAGAAATGTGGCAAAACATCTTATGTTTTGAAGAATTTTAGTATAGAAGTGAACTGCAGCTAAAGAGGGAGCTATGGCTTAGCCAACGCTGCTCCTTGTTTCTAGGAAGCCAGCATGATGCCAATGAGGAGGGGGACAGGCAACCTTGCATTTTCTGTAAATGAAGCATGTTGCAATACAAATACCACATCTCCAAGAGAGTCTGCAGCATGCAGTTCTCCGGTCTCGCCCCCAGCCTGACCCGCTCCTGAAAGTTAACATCTACTTCTATCAAATTCCCCACTCTGGACTGTTAGATTGATGAAAGCATCATTCAACTGATCAGCGTGTTACTGTGAAGCCAAAATACAATTACAATTAGACAAACTCCTTAGAAAAACCACACACTAGGGATTTACTTACGCTTCGTCAATGTTGGGATGGAAAATTTTATTCATGAATCCTGCAAAGAGACACACTGGTAAATAGCAGAAAACAGCCAAAGATATTACTTTTTTTTTAAACAAGAGGAGTCTGGAATTTACTGAACAGGGACTCATCTGACTAGTTTCAAAGAAAACCCAGCCTTAGCTATATATAGCTATATAACCTTTAAAATACGCAGGCAACATTCTGACTCTAGGGTCCTCGGCCATTCCCTCAAAAATCAGCAAAACCCTCTGCTTACAGTGCAACCATACCGCAAAGGATTTGTGGTTCAGTATTATCTTGAAAAGAACTGCCCATCAGCACAACCGAGCACCCACATCTGATGAAGTGGTTTTTAAAAGCTGCAAGGATTTTTTGAATAAATACTAAACACAAAACTTAAGCTCAACATTTGCTTTAAGATTAATTTTCTTTTAACGTCTCTCGACAAAGATTTTCTATGAACTTGAAGTTGCAACATTAATCTACATTTGTAAGCCATTCAGGGGCAGAGACTGCTGCAGACACAGCTAATACTTCAAGCTTTTTATCAATACAGCAGTTAATTCATCAGCTGGCACCTCTGGTCTCCTAGAAAAGAAAACAGCTCAGATACAAGGTCTAGAATGAGAAAACTCATCTTGGCTTTGTCCACATTTCAGACTTCTAGATCTGACAGTGCTTTCTTTGTTCTGACTTGCAAATTGAATTGTTAAAAAAAATCCTGTGGTTTCAAGACTTACGACATCAGGGTAGAAGATGCCTCACACTTTAAAGACTGCATCTGATAGCAGCAGCTAGAGGTAAGCAGTGTCTTCCAGCTGCCTACTTTAATCTCAAGTTCAAGACAGACGGCACCTCAAAACACTACCCCCTTCTCCCATAAATAAGAGTTTATATAACAACGATATTAAAGGAATTATAACACACCACACTTGGCACCTCAACCTGTGCAGAAGTAAAGCACACCCACCCCAAAAGCCAAGTTAAGTGTTTCAGACGATGACTGCAAGTGGACGCAGAATCCAGCTTCCAAACTCTTCCCTTTCCTTTCAGTAGGAGGAACCCAAACATCTGGGTGTGGAACACATCCCCAGCAAAGAATGGGCACGGAGCAGGGATAGAAAACTCGGGTTTCCAGTTATTTCACTGCCAAATGGCTCAAGTGTTCCTACATACTTCTGCTGGCTTGGCCGAATCGCTTGGGCTCTGCCCCAAAGGGCTCCCGCAACCCTTGTTTGTGTACCAGGTTAAGCTGCTTCCACATCTTAATGTTGATTTTTTTCAGGACTTAAAATAAAACCTTCTTTCCTCTGTTGTAGCACCATCCCGCAGCCTGTAAAGCCCTACAAACACTACCCACGTGGGAATCGCGCCTTGCTGCAACAAGCAGAAATCAACTTCAGCAAACAGCAGCTACTTCTTCTGACAAAGGTCCATGTTTAGAAAAATGGGTAAGAAATTTAGGTCTGGGACATTGACTCAATCCATTTAAAAAGCTCCTTCTGGCACCAAAACCACACAGAGCAGCCACTGTTTACCACTCAGCAAACTCCCTACCTTCACCACCTTCATCCGGCCACTCCAAGCAAGATGCTGCAGGAGCACTGATGTACCATCTCTGCCCAAACAAGGAACGATCACGATTTGAGTGACAGCATGGTTCCCATCTGGGATAAGAGCTGACATATGGATTTAACTCCCTTTCTTTCAATGTATTATGACACAAATATAATTTCGTGTTTACTTGTACTGCTCAGATTTTGCATAAATACAACGCAAGGCTGAAATGATGCCCAAAGTCAGAAAAACCTCTAGAAGAAGCAGCGGGAACTGCATAAACAACTCCATGCTAACAAGTGTCTTTCAGGAATTTGAAAGACATGATGATTTAGCTTAAAAAACTGAAACAGACTTCAAAAGGGAAGCTGTAGTTCCATGAAATATTTACGTTGTGGCAGCTCTCAAGTTTAAATCAGGTCACGGATCCATTATGCTGGCACTGGAGAGCTACAGCGAGCACGGATCCTGATTCTAAATCCTGCCTCTCTCTCGGAGGGAGGGAAAAAAAAAAAGTTAAGTTTCTGATAAAGCAGAATAGAAGAGAGGATGGGGGAAAACACCAGGTAACAAGAATAGGATGGTAATGTGTAGACCTGCTGAATTAAACACTCTTTGTTCTGGTATCTGGGGGACAGACCAGCTCTAACCCAACATAAGCACCACTCTGCCCTCATTTTGGTTGTCTGATCATCTCACCTATCTCCTAGTACCTTCTACCCCAGCCACCTGCAGCTGGTTGGGCAAAGCTGTGCTGCAAACCCATCTGTAAGCTTTTGGTCAACTCTTTGTTCACACACTGTAGCATTTAAACTGCACTCGATACCCAGGGAGAAGAGATTAGGTTGTTTGCTCAAGCAGCTCCTGGGCTAGAGATTTGTAATTCTTCTCTGTCATCTTTGCATTCATCCAGGCAAGGAACAATTCCTTCTTTCACACTGTCCTTGGTCTCAAGCTTTGCAAATGAAACAGTTGTTCTTCAAGAAAGAATACAAACATTCTCTCCTCGCACTCCTCGCTTCCTAGCTTGTTGCCACATCTTCTTGCAACTCTTCAGGGTCCTCCCAGTCTCATTCTCTGACAGACACAAACTGCTCAGGCCAAGAGCAGCTCTGTTCATATCTTTCTTTTTCCTGACCCAGAAATAAGCTCAAACTACCATCTCCTCCTTTATTTGAAATGTGAAGTCACCTGCAGTGATGAAGTGCTAACATAGCTCCAATAATACTCACTTGTTCTGCATTTTTTTAAACAAATACAAAGACAAAGCAAGCATAAAACATCCATGTAAAAAATGAAATTCCAATTTGAAGAGGAAGACAGGAGTTAAAAAAAAAAAAAACAACTCCCAAGCCAGCTTAAAGACTGGGGCAGGTTTACTGCCGTAGTTTTGAACACAGCACACCCCAATTAATACACTGCGCAGAACTCCAGGTGAGCCCTCCATGAGGAGTACCAAGGGACAGGCTCTTGATTTTGGGTTCTCACCATGGCCTGGAGCATGACACTGAAGTCACAGCCTGAACAGTCATGATCCTGTATGCTGGACTGGCTGTAAACAGTTAATTTAACATTTTAAGACAATATTCACACTGAACACTGGACAAGCCAATGCTTAGGAGGAACTGGGCAGTAGAGTGGGTGCTGTTGACCCTTTCCATACCGAGACACTGAGGTCCAGGATTGCCTTTGAATGTAAAGCAGGACCGCATAAAATCAGTATGGACAAAAAGCCTTTGAGTGATAACAGAAAAAAACCCTGTACATCCACAAAGGAATTACACAACAGAAAGGGACACATCTGTTCGGATACTGGAAGATGCTGAGACCAATATGCAGATGTTGACCTCCAGAAATGTTGGTATTTCAGCAAGAGCCCTGGAGTAATCACTCCTTGGGTTCCCGACAAAATTTTTTGAAGAAAAGCACATTTTTACATTAAAAGTCAGCTAACTGAAAGTTTGTCAATCTTTCTTGGTGCTTCAAACACAGGAACATTCATAAAGCTCCAGCAGCTCACCATGCTCACCCTTGCCAACCGTGGATGGGTCCGAAGAGTTGGGTCAAAGCAGTCATTCCAAGGATCGGGCCCTGTAGCTGGGTGATAGCCAAACACACTCTCCAGGTGAGGCAAACCGCAGCGGAGAAACAGGGAGGAATTTCAGACTTACGTTGATGTCAATGTCCTTCTTGAACAGCTCCAGACTGAAGCTCCCAGGAAATAGCTAGAAGGCACTGCCTGAACCAACACGCTGTCGTTAGCTGCTTTGCTAGCAAGTTCTCCTCCAAGAGGCAGAGCCCAAATACCTGGGTAACTTGGGGAATGACGAGGACTTCCAAGCAA